CAATAGCTTCAATTTGATATATAGCCCAACGTTCAGTGTTAAGTATTTCTGCTCATAACTCAGAAAAACTAAAATGCACTGGCTTCAATTTCCCCCCCTGAGTTAGCCTTCCAGTTTATTTATAGTTCAATGCTAACTATACGATTTGCGAGCAATCTAGTCCGGATCTGAGACAACACAATTCAATTTCTTGTGAATTATTTGGCTGTTTATTGGGCATATTATTCAAGGATATATACTGTACTATAATATAAAACTGCTGACATGGTGTTATACTGGACTAAGCTAAACAAAGACAAAGGTTTATGAACTATGTCCGATGCTGAAAAAACCGAAATTATCAAAAAGGCTAAGATTAAAAGGACAAATGGAAAAGCTGCTCTCACACGTCTGGGGAATACTATAAGTTTACAAGTTCCAGGAAATCGCTCAACTGAAGAGGTGAGAAAGTCACTTGATTTATATATACAAGCGTTTTCAGACCTTACCTCAAAGCATTAGGAATTAACACTACTTATCGAGAACGATAAACAATTTGAAGATAAAGAAATGTGGCCTGTTGAGGTCCAAGAAACATTCCAAGCACCAGCAAAAATCAGTGCAACTTCCAAATGGAGAAACCCAAGCTACCAAGATTTGCAGGCAATCTTCAAAGCTGATTTCAAGCATATTGTCGAAACAAGGTATGGAAAACGGGATGCGATAACAATTTTGAGAGCGAGCTTACAAGGAAAACCACTTGATATGATCAAGGGGATTGACCAAGATTATGAGACAGCCTGGGAATACTTAGATTCCGTATATGGTAATCCAAGATTTGTAGCAGACATGATAACCCAGGTTATTTCACGGTTCAAGCCTATCAAATAAAACGAGGATTTTCGATTTTGTGACTTGGTGCATTTAATACGACGAAGCTTTAATACTTTGAAAGGGGTCGGCCGCGAAAACGACATGGACAATAACCATATGCTTGCACTAATTGAACAGAAAATGTTCTCAGATGACCTGAAGGTGTGGGCGCGCCATCTAGAAAGTACAAAGAGCGAAGCCACCTTGGAAAATATGATTGCATGGATGACCAGCGAAATAAAATCTCACATGAGAGCAACAGCGCCATTAAGAAACACCTGGCAAAGCCCAAAGGGAAATATTGGTAATATAATGGAAACAGAAAGTCGCCATAAGTGTTTGTTGTCCAAAACATCTTCCCACTGGACTGATCAATGCCACAAATTCCTTGCTATGAGTACGGTTGAACGTTTGAAGTTCATAAAAGAGAATCATGCATGCTTTGGCTGCCTGAAAAGGGCTGGATGGGGTCACAATGTATCCACCTGCAGTCGCAGACGACAATGCCTTGAAATGGTCAATGGTCAACAGTGTAAGTTCTATCATCACCGCTGCTCCATGCTGCTAATATATCTGTAATCTCTTCAGTCACGACTAAAGGACAAGCACTTCTGCCAACAATTACAGCTGATATAATTGGTTCTGGAAAAGTCAAGGAACAGGCTAATATACTGTTGGACACTGGCGCCCAAGTTAGTCTAATAAGAAAACCTGTAGGAAGAATTGGGCCTTAAGGGCAAAGATGTGACAATGACTATTGCAAAGGTTGGCGGCGAAAAAGAAGAACTAGTTTCCAAAGTTTATGAAGTTCGAATTCGTTCATTGGAGAACAAGGCAACTCATGTTATCAAAGCTATCGGAATACCATCTATAAGCAGTGACACTTCCACAGTCAACTTTGACGAAATTGCCAAAGCGTTCGGGATCTCAAAGAGCAAGTTCCGGAGGAAAGACGTCCTGTTGATATTCTGGTTGGCATCGACAATCCAATGCTGCACATTGGCGAAACTCGACAGCAAGGTGATTTGGTTGCTCGACATTCACCATTAGGTTGGGTTCTGTTTGGGGCAACACAAGGCGAAACAGAGTTTTTCACATCAAAACATTGGTATCACCAGCTGTGGACATAGCAGATTTCTGGAGCACAGAGTCAATGGGAGTATCAGTAAAAGTATGTTCCTATGAAAGTGAGAAACTCGGTCCCATCGAAGCGCAAAAAGGTAGAATTATCGAAGAATCATGTCAGAAGATTGGCAACCAATGGCAAATATCCTACCCGTGGAAAAGTGATCCATGAACTCTACCTGACAACAGAAGCCAAGCGGAAAGAAAACTTGAATCAACGGAGCGACGACTGGCAAACAACCCAGAACATGCTAAAGCTTATGATAATCAAATGAAGGAAATGACGGAACTGAACTTTTCTCGGAAGCTTTCAAGTGTAGAGATAAATTCGTATAAAGGCCTTGTGAACTACATTGCTCATCATGCGGTAATCAGACCAGATAAGAAAAGCACCCCGATACGTATATTATTTAACTCATCTTCTTCATATCAAGGCCACCGTTTGAATGATTATTGGTTAAAGGGACCAGAACTCTTGAACAACCTGTTTGGTGTTATCTTGCGTTTCCGTGAAAACGAAGTGGCTCTTAGTGCGGACATCTCAAAAATGTACCACCAAATTTTAATCCCAGAACGAGATCAACACGTTCACAGATATTTATGGAGAGATATGGAGATCAAGAGAGAGCCAGATGTATATGTCAAAACCGTCTTGAAGTTCGTAGACAAACCTGCACCCGCGATGGCCCAGATCGCCCTTCGAAAGACTGCTAAAGAAGCCGAGAACTGCTATCCAGATGCTGCTCAAGTTATCACAGATAATACGTATGTTGACGATATTTGCGACTCGGTTCACACTGTTGATGAAGCAAAGCGACTGACGGAAGGAACCGATAAGGTGCTTGAAAGTGGTGGATTTCACGTAAAAGGTTGGTTGTCAAACAAGTCGTTAGAGAACACCGTAGCGAACAACACTAGTGACGAACTGCTGGCTATGAAGTTATTGCAAGGTGAAGCAGAGGAGAAAGTACTAGGCGTAGTTTGGAATCATGAGCAAAGCGTGTTCATGTTCAAAGTACATCCACCCAATGAAATAAAGCTAACCAAAAGAATAATTCTGAGTCACATCGCGAGAATTTACGATCCCATTGGAATAGCGGCAGCTTTCGTGATACGTGCAAAAATGGGAATGCAAAGATTGTGGTTAGAAGGACTGAACTGGGACGACAAATTACCTCCAACCGGCCAAGTTTCATGGGAGAACTTTTTCAAAGAAATGAACGAGCTCAACCATGTGATGTTTGAAAGATCCTTAACGCCAGATGATCTTATTGGGGTACCATCACTCATTATCTTTGCTGATGCATCGAGGGAAGCATTCGGTACGTGTACATATGTCAGATGGGAAACTACCGATCATGTGTTTGTTACCAGATTTGTCTCGGAAAAATCCAGAGTAGCCCCTCTGAAACCTTTGACAATTCCACGACTGGAAGAATTACAAGCTGCTGTTTTAGCCGTTCGATTGTCTCAGTCAATTCTTCACGAAACACGACATCAATTCGAAAACATAATATTCTTCTCGGACAGAAGCATTGACATATCGTGGATTCGAAGTCCAGCTCGAAAATTCAAACCATTTGTCTCTGCCAGAATTGCTGAAATACACAGCAAATCCGAACCCTGCCAATGGAGACACATTTCTTAAGAATTGAACGTTGCAGACGAAGTCTCGCGAGGTATACCTGCTCAAGCAACCTCGTTCCCAGGGCTTTTCCTTTTTTGTCATTGAGAAGGCGGGAAAAGTCCCTGGCACCGGCCGGTCTTCTATGTATTCTGATTGGTCAATGACAAGACATTATTATGCAAATAATGCAATCTTGGATTAATTTATTCAAACTTCGGGATAAATTAACATTTTCACGCAAGGAGTGTCCATAATATTACTTTGTCCGTCTAAGAAATATTTTTGGCAAAATCTGTGGCAAAATGGTTAAATTCGATAAGATTTATGCACAATTTATAGAATTACAAATTAAAAATAAATACGAATTACGAATTTACGAATTACGAATTTACGAATTACGAATTAGAATTTATAGAATTATTTCAAGATTATAGGATTACGCTTAGGATAGGATTACGCTCTAGAGACCTCCGCTTTATTGCAAGCATAAATCAGTATTTTTGAAACTTTTGAACCACATATTCTATTATATTTTGGAATCGAATTTATATTGTGGTGTAAAGTTATTTTGGATCGTATTGTGTTCATTATTGTTGTGTCACATGCTGCGAAGTTGAACTTTTGGATATTGCTCGTTATCTTTGGCTTTATTTGTCGTATTCGTGTGTAACTTGCTACGTATTCTGCCAACGGTGTTATATCTTTCGCGTGTTAATTTAGTCTCATTTGGTTACCTTGTTCGTGTTTTATTAAACTATTATTATTTTGACCGTTGGTGCTTTAAATTTGAATTTGCCACGTCCCGTTCCTAGGCAACAACTTTACGGCAGCGTATATCTTGGTTCTACGTATTTCAAAACATTTTTATACCTTGGATTTTTATTGTTTTTATCATCCGCTACATTTTGGTATAGTTTTTGACAACTTTGGCATTTGGAATAACATTTGACTATATATATATATATATATATATATATATATATATATATATATATATATATATATATATATATATATATATATATATATATATATATATTGACTATATGTATGTATTGTCTCGTAGTTGACCTTTGACTTGGCTAATGCTCTCGTTTCCTATGTGGGGTTTTCCCTTATAAAATTTAAAGGTGATATACAATGAATTTAATAACCCGCCGACGTTTGTCCAACTTAATCTCCAGTTGCCTCCTGTTTCTTTCTATAACCTTTTGGCTATATTCTAGATCTAAACCAGTAGTAGATTCTGAGATCCCCTCATCATCGCCGCAGACTTTCAATATCTCATCGAAACTTTCATCAATATCAAACAGATTAAGCTATATTTGGATAACAACGCGTGATAATATTTTAAGGAAGTGTTCATTGTCCAGCAACTACCGTTATGGCCTTCTATTCCAAATCAATAACAACACGCACCTCCTCCTGTGGATCTTATTATCTGGTGACATTGCTACCAACCCAGGTCCTCGTAATGATCATATCCTTCGGTGTCTTTCCTTCAATGCCCGGAGTATTCGAAGTAGCACAAAATTACCTGACGGGACTTTTATTGATAACATGAAGTCTTTCCAAGATTTGGTTTACGCAGATAATCTTGATCTGATTCTCGTAACTGAAACATGGCTTAACAGCAACTTCTCGAGCATTGAATTACTTTCAAAAGGTTATAACATAATAAGAAACGATCGAATAGCTGACAAACGTGGTGGCGGGGTGCTTATAGTTCTACGTGAAAATATTACATATAATAGACTAACCGCAAGTAAAAATAATCCAAACTGGTCAGATCGTTTAGAAATTATTGCTCTTGAGTTAGAAATGATGAACACCAAAAAATCTCTTGTTTCCGTTTGTTATCGACCACCGAATTGTAACTTAAATGAATGGCTTGAATTATTCAAAGCATTTCTGAATGATACTTCCCACTACGATAAAGTTCTTATCACTGGTGACTTTAATTTTCCAGACTTAACTTGGAATTCCTCACTTCTACCGAATATATCAGAAAGGACCCCTTCGGTTGGTTCATCAGAGTTTAGAGAACTTACATTCGACTTTTTTTGCACCAAGTGAATATGTATCCCTCAAGACTAAACAATATCTTAGACCTTATCCTAACAAACACTTCAGAAAACATTGGTAGTTTATCATGCGTTTTAGCAAAATCTTTGAACCTTTCAAGTGACCATCGTCTGATG